AGGTTTTGCCTGTGTAGTCTTATACTTGTTATTACTGTGGCATTTGAACTGATCCATAGATGAGAGTCTATTTATCAGGGAAGGAAGGGGTGGGAATAGTGGATGAACAAGGAAGGATTGTTGTCAGACTTCTTTATCCCTGTTCAGATTAGTGAGAGGCCTATACGGTACATGGATTATAAATAGGGCAGGCGATTTCCAGGAGCTGTAAAGAACATTCTTTTTTTTTTTTTTTAAAGATTTTATTTATTTATTTGAGAGAGAGAGAATGAGAGACAGAGAGCATGAGAGGGAGGAGGGTCAAAGGGAGAAGCAGACTCCTCGCTGAGCAAGGAGCCCGATGCGGGACTCGATCCCGGGACTCCAGGATCGTGACCTGAGCCGAAGGCAGTCGCTTAACCGACTGAGCCACCCAGGCGCCCCTGTAAAGAACATTCTTAAGATCTCACCCCTGACAGCGACTTAGCAGCTAGATTTTACGGGAAGGGTTAAGAAGTAGGGGCATGGTATGGAAAAGTATTGTTGGTGATTAGTTAGAGATATAAGCCCAAGGGGGACAAAAAGATCTATGTTGTTTATTTCTGTTTCACCCAGCATGTGGCATGAAGCCATGCCCACCATAAGCATTTGGGAGCTACTATTGGTACTATTGGTAAGGATTCCAGAATGACCAAAGGCACACGCATGAGAATATAAAATTAGGTCAATTAGTGAAAGTCTCATGAAATCCTCCCTTTAAGCGTGGTAAAAAGACTATACGTGAGGAAGCAGGACTCAGAAGTAGAGTCCAAGTACAATATAAGAGGAAAACAAAACCCATATGTTGATCAATTAAAGGACACATGCTTCAGAGCATCTCCTGCTCTGCGGGCTCCTTTACTCAGGATCCTGGGGGCCTGTCTCTGCCTCTTTGCCATCACTGGATAGAATGTGCCTGATTATTCATCTTAATTTCTGAAAACAGATTCTACCACCAGGTGAGTGAAAGAGACCTGAGATTTGTGTAATGATTTTGCATTAGCAAGTAGTCTTGAATTTCTACCAGAAGACTTTAAAACCTCTCATAACTTAGTGATTAGCCAGAAAGAATTTCATACCAGGGTGGTTTCTTGTTCAAGTACCCAAAATAGGGTCAGTAACAGGACCTGCTCACAGGCCTGATGTAGAGTGAGGTATGTATAGGGGGTGTTGCTGCTGCAGCTCTTATTGTTATTATCATTATTAATTATTATTAACCAGGTTAGGTATCTTAATTCTTAATAGAATTCTTAGGTATCTTAATTCTCTATTGTACACTGACTTACGCCAGTGTACAATATGAAGTGCAGTCACTTCACCTTTTTTAAAAAAAAAAAAAATAGGCTCAATGCAGGGCTTGAACTCATGACCCCGAGATCAAGACCTGAGCTGACATTTAGAGTCGGACACTCAACCGACTGAGCCACCCAGGCGCCCCATCATTTCTCTTTCTTTGATAAAGACTGAGATACATTTCTCTGGGACAAAGATGACCCGCTCCCCTAGGTACATTGGGCAATTACCACACAACATTAGTATTTACTTATTTGGATGTCCACAGTAAGCAAATATTAATTAGTCAGAATCGTGGGTTTTCAGTAAGAGATAGGCTGGACAGTGAGATGTAGATGGCTGCCATTTTGTACAGCGGACATGCAAAGAGATTTTTCAGACAAGCACCAGACTTCCCGCTGCAGTAGGTGGCTTTCTGGCAAGAAGGGCAGATGGACTGTGAGCCCCTTGAGGTGAATCAGAACCGGCATACGTGCTGGAGTCTTCCCAGAAGCAATTGTTTTCTTCCATTCAATGGGAAAGGACAAAGCCAAAAATGAGAACGCCAGGAAAATGTAGGTGTTTCTATTTCCACAGAATAACCTAAGTTTAATAAAGCCAAAAAAAGAAGGTAATATATTTTTAAGTTTTAGCCCTTAAGTAAAAATTTAATACGCTTTGTTAATTGAAAAAAATGGAAAAGTATTTGGTCATTTTTTCTTCATCATTTCTATATAACTAACCATGTGTGGGTGTGTACTATAATGCTAGAAAGCTAATGTAACGCATCACTTTAGGGAAGGAATAAAATCATCATCCCGACCACGTCTCTTACCTTGATTCATAGCTCAAATATTTCTATTCTTGGAACATTACTGCAGCTCTGGTGCGAAGAAAATTGCTGGTGGATGAAGAATGATTCTGCAGCCTTTCATCCTTCGCAATGTTCGCGCCCTCTCACTACTCTAACTTTACAATGGTGCCATCTAGTGTTCACATGTCCTCAGTACTCTAGCTCAACTTCATTAGAAGCCAAATAATACAGTAGCAAGCAAGTTACCTTAAAAACAGTGTGCCTGCCGTTAAAGAGGGCACGTACTGCATGGAGCACTGGGTGTTATACGCAAACAATGAATCATGGAACACTACATCAAAAACAAATGATGTCATGTATGGTGATTAACATAACATAAAAAAAAACTAATAATGTAATGTATGGTGATTAACATAACATAATAAAATAAAATAAATAAATACAAAATTTTAAAAAACCAGTGGGCCGGGGACAGTCAATGTAATGAATAGTCAGTCATTGAAACACGAGAACAGAATTTTTCATTAAATGTATATTTCTTATTTATCATTATTGCCTCATTTATTACATTTCCTTCACAAAGATTTTTATATATTCTATTTATATAGTCAGACAAATTATAGATAACAGACTCCATGTATTGAAATTATACTTATTTTATCTTTTATTTTTATATTTCTCTCTCTACCTTCCTGTAACTCTAACACAATGGTCATTGTCTTTGACGGCGACACAACCAACCTAGTTATGGGTTGGGTTGGATTAGAGCAGAATCAAAAGATGGAAATCATTTATTGTAATATTTGATTGCACTGCCTATCCTGTCCCAGGTTGTGGTTTTGTTAGTGCTGATGATTGTACCTTCAAGGGCCAGGTTCTTCACTACATAGCCAGAGAAACACAGAAGGGCTTTGATATGCATAAAATAGAGTGTTTTAAAAAAAAAAAAAACCACACACAAAAAAACTAGTCTTACCATTGACACTATGTTAGGACTATCTGTTTAAAAAATTTTGTAGAAAGTAATTTATGGAATCAATGAGCTTAGACACAGTTTTCAAGTTGTCCCAGAGATGTGACTTTTATTTTCTTTACTAGCCTTTGAGTTGACTTCTATATTGCCTATCAGTTCGGAATTTTAAGGGGAAAAAATATATTTATTTAATCATGAAAGAACAAAATTAATTTAAGACAGGCCCTATCAGATTACCTCCATCATTTTAACATCTGCAAAACACCTGCTTTGACTGACTTCAACACTGAAATGAAGCAGCTCAACCTTCACCCTGTCTGATATGGGGGAAGGTGGAGTCCCCGGCTCTAAGAGAATGCTGCCTACACGCAAAACTCATCCAGTCCCACTCTGAACTTGGCTCTCCCTTAGCTTTTTGTTACCTCCTCGAGGACAGGATGTTCCCTCCCACTGTGGGCTCTGTTTACCTGCCTTGCTTTAATCGGGAATGCATTCTTCTGTGCTTCTGCTCTCACTTGGTTAATTATTACAACCCTTCAGACCTTGACCTATGAATCATTTCCTCAGAGAAGCCCTCCAACCCCTAATTAGTCCTCTCTTGTTATTAGATATCATCCAACACTTTTCCTTATTACCACTCACCACACTTTGCAATTATATGCTTGTGTTATTATCTACTTAATATGCCCTGTCCCTACTAGATTATAAATTTCGAGCAGGCTGAAATAATCTTTTTTTAACCATTTGGGGTCCTAGCCACTGTGTGTTTCTGTAGTTCAATACAGTAGTAGGCATGTGGGAAATAGCTGATGAAATCCAAAATTGAGAACTGAGATGCCCATTGTCCCAGCCCCTGTAGTTTCGTGATGGCAACTGTGCTTCCATGTCACCCTTGAGGCAAGAGAATATTCACTGAGGCAGGAAGTTCACCTGTATGGTAGTTCTCAAGGTATAGCCCTCTGGGGACATGTCACTTCCTGCAACACCGTCTGGGAGTGGGATGTTCATTCTCAATACCTACAGAATCCCTGACCTTGTTCACTGCTGCTCTTCAACTTCTCAAGGTCAATTGGCCTTTCACTCCCTGCCCGCCAATTCCTCCTTGCCACATTTCTATTCCCCTCACTCAAAATTAAATAAACAAACAAACAAAATTCACCTCTTGTAGTCTTTACTGTCTGCCATCTTCATGGGATTAACATGGAGATAGAGAGCACAAAATGTAAATTAGTATTTTAAGAAATTATCCTGTCACTCTGGTGGTCAATAGGGAATAAATTTTGCACATTATACAAAGGACAGGTTGTGTTTTCATTGTTTCCTTTTGTAGTACATTCCTTCTCTTTCTAGAAGACCCTAAGGATTCCCAACTGTCTTGGAGTATTAGACAAGAGATCATGCTGAGAACCAATCATTTCAAAATAAGTTCTGCTTAAAAAATTCATAACATGTCATACTAAGTTTCTGATCTCTATAACCAGTCACCAAGGTCTTCTAAAGAGTAAGAAATGAAGCCAGGATTCAGAACTGATTAATTGTGACACTGAATACATGCATGCATAGATGGATTTGGTATTTTTTGTAAATTGTATTCTATTTCATTTAAAGTCTGGTATATTGGCATTGCTTTCCAAAGTTAACACTTTTGCTTAACATCGAGTACACACAAAAGAAAAGTCCTTGCCCTTCTGAATATTTTCAGACACACTGAAGCTTCCAGAGTCCTTCCAGATCCCTCTCCTCTCCACCTGTGGTAGCATTTCATAGGCCTTATGAAAGTGTGTGCTTCTTGAAAGCTGAACTTACTGATTGAATTGCCAACTCGTATAGAATTCTGACTCTTCAGTGTGTATTTGATGAAAAATTAAATCGGATAGAATAAAGTTTACTCCAAAGAATATCTTCACACTTCTATCTCCACAGCAACACGGACGTACACACAGTGGCGTCACTTCTTAAACTCTATCTCCGAGAACTTCCAGAACCAGTCATTCCTTATGCAAAGTATGAAGGTTTTTTGTCCTGTGCCAAACTGCTCAGCAAGGAAGAAGAAGCTGTAAGTTGATGCATTTCTTTCTTAAAAAACCTTCATTTGGCTTTCTTGTCAATGTTCTTAGTTTTTAATTTGTAAATTTCCTTTTGTCCCATCCTTGGATTATTTTCCACTAATGTATTTATTGATATTGCACACACAACTCAGGTCCCATTTTTTAATCCCCTCTCTTATCAAAAAGAAACTGCAGGTTAATAAATGAAATGAACCCTCCTTGCCCACTTTGCTCCTCTAAAGAGTTAACTGTGAGCTACATCAGGCCAAACAGTCCATGAACAAAGTGGATGCCTTATTTCATATTCTCTTCTTCATTGTGTGCCCCTCTAAATTACCTAGACAGGGGCACCTGGGTGGCTCAGATGGTTAAGCGTCTGCCTTCAGCTCAGGTCATGATCCCAGGGTCCTGGGATCGAGCCCCACATCAGGCTCCTGGCTCGGCGAGGAGCCTGCTTCTCCCTCTCCCTCTGCCTCTCTCCCCTGCTCATGCTTTCTCTCTCTCTCTCTGTATCTCTGTGTTTCAAATGAATAAATAAAATCTTTAAAAAAAAAAATAAATAAATAAATAAAATAAAATAAATTACCTAGACAATGCCTTCTACCAAATCTTAGGTACCATTTTTTTAAAACAGCTTTATTGAGATATAATTCATATACCATATAATCACCTATTTAAAGTGTACAATCAGGGCATTTTAGTATACAGTTGACCCTCAAACAACAGGGGTTTGAATGGGTCCTCCTATACATGGATTTTTTGCAGTGCAGTACTATAAATGTATTTTCTCTTCCTTATGATTTTCTTAATCTTTTCTTTTCTCTAGCTTACTTTATTATAAAAATACAGCATATAATGCATAAAACATACAAAATATTTGTTAATCAACTGTTTATGTTACCAGTAAGGGTTCCAGTCAACAACAGGCTATTAGTAATTGAGTTTTGGGGGAGTCAAAAGTTCTTCATGGATTTTCGAGTTGGGGGGGATTAGTGCCCTTCACCCCCACATTACTCAGGGTCAACTGTATTCTCAAGAGTTGTGCAACCACTACCAAAATCTAATTTTAGAATATTTAGCACATTTCCATCATCCTATAACAAACGCCATATCTCTTCCCCAGGCCCCACCTTCCCTAGCTCTTGGCAACTACTAATCTCTTTCTGTATCTATAGACTTGTGTATTTTGGCTATTTCATATAAATGGAATCATTCAGTACATTGTCTTCTGTTACTGGCTTCTTTCACTGTTTCCAAGGTTCATCCACACTATACCACATACATTTAGTATTTCATGCCATTTATTTATTTATTTATTTATTTATTTATTTATTTATTTATTTATCCATTCATCAGTTGTAGCATATGTGTGTTGTTTCTGTTGTTTGACTATTATTAATAATGCTGCTGTGAATATTCACGTGCAAAGTTTTGCATGGATATATGTCTGCATTTCTCCTGGGTATATACCTAGAAGGCAGAATTGCTGGGCCATATGTAACTCTGTGTTTCTTAAAGAGGCTCCGTCATTTTAAATTCCCACCAACAACGTGTGCAGATTCCAACGTCTCCACATTTTTGCCAACACTTGTTATCTCTCTTTTTTACCATAGCCATCCTAATGTAAGTAAAGTGAGATCTCATTGAGCTTGAGTTGCATTTCTCTGATGGTTAATGATGTTAAACATTTTTCCATGTACTTATTGGCTCTTCACATATTTTCTTTGGAAAAACATCTCTTCAAATCATTTTCCCATTTTTAATTGGGTTGTTTGTCTTATTATCAAGTTGTGAGAGTTCTTTATAGTTTAGATTATAAACCTCTTATCAGATATATGATTTGATTTGCAAATATTTCTCCCATTCTATAGGTTGTCTCTTCAGGTTTTTTTAAAGATTTATTTATTTATTTTAGAAGGGGGGGGCAGAGAGAGGGAATTTCAAGCAGACTCCCTGCTGAGCACAGAACCCGATGCCAGACTCCCATGACCCTGAGATCATGACCTGAGCCAAAATCAAGAGTTGGACACTCAAATGACCAAGCCACCCAGGTGCCCCAAGTCTCTTCAGTTTTTTGATAGTGTCCTTTCAAGCATGAAAGTTTTTAATTGCAACGAAGTCCAATTTATCTATTTTTCTTTTGTCACTTGTGCTTTTAATGTCATATCTAACAAGTCTTTAACCAAGCTCACCAGGATTTATTCCTATATTTTCTTGTAAGACTTTTGTAACATTAACTCTTACATTTAGGTCTGTGATCCATTTTGAGTTAATTTTGGCTTATGATATGAGGAAAGATCCAACTGCATCCTGTGGCATGTGGATATCCAGTTGTCTCAGAACCATTTGTTGGAAAGACTCTTGTTTCCTCCACTGGATTTTCTTGGCACTCTTGTTGAAATTGCTGCCTATTTTTATAAATGAAGTTTTACTTTGTTATGTAATATTGTCTGTGGCTGCTTTTGTACCACAACAGGAGAGTTGAGTAGTTGAGACAGAGACCATATGTCCCAGAATGCTTGCGATGTTTACCATCTGGCCTTTTTCAGGAAGAAGAACACATTAGATTACATTATCCATTAGCTTTTCTGGGACCATTTACATTTTAGAAGTCCTACAATGAGAAGAACCCAAGCAATTAATCCATTTGTGAAATGTCCTGGAAGAGCAGGCTTTTCGTTCTCCATCCCACCCCAAACAGTGTATCCTAGACATGGCCCATCTTGAGAGACTTATTTGCCAGTAGATGTGTATTTGTCTGTTTTGGGCATGCCAGAAATGGGAAAGATCCTCACTACATTAAGGCTACTTTTTTCCCCAAATAACCTTATTATAAATGAGGCTATCTTCCCTTTTTAGTCAACTGTGAGCAAGTATTAAAAATGTTAAAAAGGCTTCACTTAACATCTGTTTCTCCACAAATTGTACTTATGGAAATATTGAAATACTTTTTTCACATCTTTGAAAATATTTGTGAAATGCTCTCTAATAGTGGCAAGTTTTCAGGACAGGATTCTTCACTGATGATATGTGAAACTACTGAAAAAAACTGTATACCCATTTTTTATTTGCTTTAATTCCAAGGCCAACGCTTAGATAACATTCATTCTCTATTTCTTTTTACTCAGGGTGTTAAGGAATTAGCAAAGCAGGTGAAGAGTTTGCCAGTGGTCAATTACAACCTCCTGAAGTATATTTGCAGGTAAGAATTGTCCTAAAGACAAAACTAAACAGAACAAGACAATATATAACCTAATACTAAGTTACTTTTGACCGTGAATAAAATCACTGAACTGTTCTGAGCTCTAGTGTTGATCTCTATAAAATTAAGAGGTTTGACAAGATGATCTCAAAGGTTTCTTTGAGCACTGAAATTGCTCGATTTTTGCCATTTGCTGTTTCTGAGTCTCTCTTAGGTCTAATAAGAAGGATATGTTGCTTCAAACTTCCATCAAAGTTCTTTGTACATGTGCCATGTATCTTCGTTTAGAGGAGCATTTACCTCAGCATGAGAAAGACCAGTGCGGGGAGGGCCAGTTTCTATCACTGACTTCGTATGTGTCTGTATGCAATTTTCTTATTCTCTCTAAGTGTCCTACTAGGTAAGAGTATTGAAAACACACATTTCACACAGTTGTTTTAACATTTAAATTATATTTTTTGACTGAATAAATATTATTTTCTATTTCCCTCTTACTTCAAGACTCATTGAAAAGACATTTTTATTCAATTCTGTTAGGACGATAATTGTGCCTGGTAAAGCTCTCACTCATGACCATATTTACCTATGGCCTGGGATGGTTTGTGCCATGACTGTGCCCCTGTTTAAGAAACCATATGATTTCACTCATATGTGGAATTTAAGAAACAAAACAAACAATCATGGGGGTGGGGGCGGGAAGAGAGAGGCAAACCAAGAAACAGACTCTTAACTATAGAGAACAAACTGATGATGACCAAAGGGGCGGCAGGTAGGGAATGGGTGACATAGGTAATGGGGATTAAGGAAGGAAGGCACTTGTTGAGGTGAGTTCCGGGTGTTGTATGGAAGTGCTGAATCACTAAATTGCACACCTGAAACTAATATTACACTGTATGTTAACTAACTGGAATTTAAATAAAAACGAAAAAAATAAAGACACCAAATATGTAAAATTGAAACATTAAATTTAAATAAAGAGATGATGATTGGCAATACAAGTCATTATAAGGTATCTTAAATCAAGCCTTTCAGTTTGTTTTTTATTTTTTTTATTTTATTTTATTTTATTTTTTTTTTTTTAAGATTTTGTTTATTTATTTGAGAGAGAGAATGAGATAGAGAGAGCATGAGAGTGGGGAGGGTCAGAGGGAGAAGCAGACTCCCCGCCGAGCAGGAAGCCCGATGCGGGACTCGATCCAGGGACTCCAGGATCATGACCTGAGCCGAAGGCCGTCGCCTAACCAACTGAGCCACCCAGGCGCCCCTCAGTTTGTTTTTTAAATAATTCAAATTTTTAATTCAATGCAGTATTAACATTTGCATATACTTTTTGTATCATGATTAGATAAATGTTCAGCAGACTGGGAACTAAAATGCAATTTAAGACTAATGCCAGACAGGGCACCTGGGTGGCTCAGATGGTTAAGCATCTGCCTTGGGCTCAGGTCATGATCCCAGGGTCCTGGGATCGAGTCCCGCATCGGACTCCCTGTTCAGCAGGGAGCCTGCTTCTCCCTCTGCCTCTCTCTCTCTCTCTGTCTCTTATGAATAAATAAATAAAATCTTAAAAAAAAAAAAAAGACTAATGCCAGACACTGTGGACCTCACTGTCAACTGTAACTGAGTAGGAATTCCAGAATCTCCTACTGTAGCTTTTTCTGGGAATGGTAGGAAGCAAATATGAGTTTAGGTTTCATAATTTGTTTTTTTAAAGATTTTATTTATTTATTTGAGAGAGAGAGAGAGAGAGAAACCCAGTGGGGAGAGGGGCAGAGGGAGAGACAGAAGCAGACTCCCCACTGAGCAGGGAGCCCAACATGGGGCTTGATCCCAGGACCCCGAGATCAAGACCTGAGCCAAAGGCAGCTGCCCAACCAACTGAGCCACCCAGGCACCCCAGGTTTCATATTTTAAAAAAGAAAGAAATAGTATCACTGATAACATAGATTCATTAACACATCAGGGTTCCAACCCAAGATTTTGAACTAATTCAAGCTGTTGTGGTAAATGAGAAAAGACATCCTCTTTAGGTAAAAGGGAAAAGACTTTTCCTTGTTCCGTATTACCCATCTTTATCTCCACAGTAGGAGAACTTCACTTCTCTTGAAACATTTAAGCAGACTTTTGGTTTCAGCTATTTCAAATAAGAAATTACACTGCCCTTCAGTTTTACTGTAGCTTAGCCCGTCTAACAGTCATGAATATGTGGAACAGGTGCCTTTCTTCAAAGTCATAGGGGAGTAGTCAAGAGCACAGACTCCAGAGTCAGACGATCTGGGTTCAAATCACGGCTCTGCCACCTGTTACTTTTGTGTCCTTGGAGAATATTCTTAACCACTCTGGTGCCTCATGTGTCTCATCTGTAAAATGGAGATAGTCATAGTATTTACTTCACAGAGTTGCTCTGAGAATTTAGTAAGTTAGTGCAATGACTGACACATAAAATATATTATTTTAAATAATAATAAGTTCTCTTATTTTGCTTAGCATAATACACTCTAGCTTCATCCATGTTGTTGCAGATGACAAGATTTCATTCTTTTTGATGGCTGAGTAATAGTCTGTTGTGTATATATATCTGTATGGTATATATATCTTCTTTATCCATTCCTCTATGCTAAGTGAAATAAGTCAATCAGAGAAAGACAAATACCATATGTTTTCACTCATATGTGGAATTAAAGAAACAAACAGATGAACATAGGGGAAGGAGAGGGAAAAAAAGAGAGAGAGGGGAGCAAACCATAAGAGATCTTAACTATAGAGAACAAACTGAGGTTTGATGGAGGGGAGGAGGGTGGGGGATGGGCTAAATGAGTGAGGGATATTAAGGAGGGCACTTATTGTGATGAGCACTGGGCGTTATATGTGAGTGATGAATCATTAAATCCTACTGTATGTTAACTAACTAGAATTTAAATAAAAATTTGAAATAAAAAAATAAGTAAATAAAACCAAGTGAAAAAGTAATAAGTTCTTTTTTATTTTTTCATCACTTCCACTTTGTCTCATCAGTACAATTAGTAAACCATGAAATCTAGAAATGAAGAGGGGCTGGGGAATGAAAAATGGCTGAAAGACTACAAAAACAATCCCTCCTACTAAAATCATTTGGGGAAAAGTCTATTGCACGCTTCTTATTCTTTAGCACCTAATAAATTGAAAAAATTGTGCTTATATTAATGTTTCATATTGGTAGAAGTAAGGTTTTAATTTAAACCATGTTTGATATCATTTTTTAATAGACTATAAATTTGAAGCTCACAAATTCCTCAATAAAGAGGGTTGATTCCTCTTTTCTGAAATAAAGGATTGTACCGGATGATCGTATTTATAGTTCTCAAATTGAATATACATATAAATTAAATGTTTTCTTTGAAGATTGAAAGAAAATCCATATTCTTGAATCTCATGTCCATATTAACATCCAAATACACCTGTTTCTGTGATCGACAGAGGAAACCAAGCTAAGCCAGGCCAGAGATATTTGATATGAGCCCTCAAGTTTGATCCTTAATCATTTGCAATATATTTTCCCCACTGAGAGATGTTTGAATTTCTAAATAATTTTGTGTCCATAATTGTATTTGAACATATTCTAGTTAGTAAATTCCCCAATAACCCACTTTCTTCCACTGACAAATTTGATACCATTGTTTTGTTCATGTTCTTATACCCAACAGGTTCTTGGATGAAGTACAATCCTATTCTGGAGTTAACAAAATGAGTGTGCAGAACTTGGCCACTGTCTTTGGCCCTAATATCCTGCGCCCCAAAGTGGAAGATCCTTTGACCATCATGGAGGGTAAGTAAATGATTATCTTACATCCTCATCAAGAGAGCAATCTTTTGTTTGTTTGTTTTGTTTTTTCTAAAGTTTATTTATAATCTCTATACCCAATGTGGGGCTCAAACTCACAACCCCAAGATCAAGAGTCACATGCTCAGCTAGGCAATCCCAATCAACTGTCTTTTGTTTGGTCTGAACCTCTTCTCTTCTGAGGAAACTAGGGAAATAAGTAACTCCATGGTAACTTCATTTATTGACCCAAGTCCTTCAAGTGCAAAAAACTTCTCTTTGGAAGTCAGGCATTTTTTTTAGTTTTCTAAAGAAAATAATTTACTAAAAGATTCCTCAGTAGCCTTACAAGAATAAATCAGCTGTAAAGTATTATGCAAGAACTAGAAAAACCAGTTCACTTTTTGAGCCCCATTCAATTTTCAGAAAATTCAAAAAGTAACTATCTTAAGTTAATATAGTTTTATTAATTTTGGTTTTGACTACTTTCAAGAAGCAGAAAAATATGGTCTTCTGTAAGATTATGCTACTGAAACATGAATTGTTTTCTAGATTATAAAATGCCTCGAATTATTTTCCACACTGAACTTCTACTTCTGTTTGTTTCCAGTAGGCCTTACTGCTTGAATACCTTTCTTACCTATGGCCATTAGTGGTACCATTGTTTTCTACAAATTGGATGAATTGAACATTTAAGAATTTAATAACGAAGAGGGGAGGAGAAAGAAAACGAGTCATTTTAGTTTCACCCTGAGCTTATTTAGAACAAAATATACTCCTGATACTGTTCCTTTCTTGAAAATTCTACGATTTTTATTCCTCTATGTCTTATGAGACAGAGAGAAAGCTTTTAAGAGTTTGCCTGCATCAACTCAGCTTCATTTCCTTGTCAGATATTTAGGGCAATAACAAGTGAACTTCAGATTTGAGGCAATAAGTTAGTTGGCCCAGAAAACTTAATTTATTTTGGAAGAGTTTAGCAGACATTAGAAGATATAAAATGTGAAGCTATAAGAAGCTTACCAGTACTTTAGTCTATAGTTTTCTAAAACCTTTTTTTATTATAAAATAGAAGGCATATGATAATGAAAACCACCAATAACACACACACATACACATCTTAATGAATTTAGATAAGACAAATACTCTAGAAATCACCACCCAGGTCAAGAAATACAACTTTTTTAGGCATCCCAAAAGTCTGGCTCTGTGTCCTCTTGCTCCATCTTACTCCCCCACTTACTTCTAACTCTATTTTACTACACAGACATTTGTATCAATCACTTCCTTGCATTTCTTTATAGTGGTTTTTTGTTTTTTTTTTTTTCTGGTTAGACAATGATTTTATTGCTTGAGTACATGGTCAAATTTATGCGACCAGGGCAGAGGCTGTGGATGACTCGTATTTCCAACTGGGGGGGAGGACTCGCTTAGTCTTATAATACCGAGCCAACCGGTGAATACGGCTCTCGATCAGAATCAGTCGGAATTTCGCATCCTTGTCCTTTCTGTTCCTCCCAAGATGCTTTCGAACAGCAACTGCTTTCTTAATCAAATGGTAATGATCCTCAGGAAGATCAGGAGCAAGTCCTTTGGACTTAAGAATTCTCAGGATTTTATTGCCTGTCACAAAACGTACTTGTGCAACACCATGGGAGTCTCCCAAGATCACACCGATTTGTGAGGGAGTCCGGCCCTTCTTGGCCGGTTTGTAGATCTGCTCCTTCACGTCGGCAGACGCCAATTTCAGCCAGGTGGGGACGCTGCGGCGGGAAGGCAGAGCCCACCGGGACAGGCCCTTCCCGGGAGCGTGCATGCGACCCCTGATGGCGGCGGTCAGGCAGCGAAAAAGAGCGCATTTCTTTATAGTTTCATCAACCAAACAGATTTCCTAGGCATTATATTTAATCTTTACGATTATTTTATTTGTTATTTTTTAACGTCTTTGGCCCTAATATCCTGACTTCAGGAACATATAAAAAGGATAACAAACCAACACCAGTGGGTTTTAATCCCAGGAAGGCAAACGTGGCTAGCCATTTAAAAATCAGTGTAATTCCGGGGCACCTGGGTGGCTCAGTCGGTTGAGCGGCTGCCTTCAGCTCAGGTCATGATCCCAGGGTCCCGGGATCGAGCTCTGCATCAAGCTCCCCGCCCAGCAGAGAGCCTGCTTCTCCCTCTTCCGCTGCTGCTCCCTCTGCTTGTGCTCTCTCTCTCTCTGTCAAATAAATAAATAAAATCTTTTAAAAAAAATAAATAAAAATCAATGTAATTCACCATATTGACAACATTTAAAAAAAAATCCTCTCTGTGAATAAAAAAAAACTATTTTACAAAATCTAACACCACTCATGATAAAGGCTGTTAGCAAATTAGAAATAAAAGGAACTTAACCTAACAAAGGTCATCTATAAATAATTCAGTTATAGTATTATACTTAGTGGTGAAAGACGGAATGCTTTCCCCCCTAAGATTGGGCATAAGGTAAGATTGCCTACTTCTGGCACTTTGACTGTACTAGAAATCCTAGCCAGTGTGATAAAGTATCAAGAAGGAATTAAAGGCATACAAATTAGGAAGTTGTAAAACTCTGTTTATTCACAGACATGATAATTTATGTAGAAAATTCTAGAAAATCTATAAGGAAAGCTACTATAACTAATGAGTTAACTTATCAAGGTCATATGATACAATGTCAATTTATACAAATTCATTGTATTTCTATACACTAACATTGAACAATTGGAAATTGAAATAAAAAATATAATTTTAGAACAACACTTACAAATATCAAAAATTAGGGCTAAATTTAAGAAAATATGCACAAGATATATATCCTGAAAACTACTAAACATTTATGAAAAAAAAACTATGTAAATGGGCAAATATACTATGTTCATCAATTAGAATAGTCAAAATCAATGAGCTATTAATTTTCCTAAAGTGTACCTATAGTATCAACATAATTCTCAAAAATATTACAGAAAAAATTTTATTTGTAGAAATTGACAATCTGTGGGCGCCTGGGTGGCTCAGTTGGTTAAGCGACTGCCTTCGGCTCAGGTCATGATCCTGGAGTCCGGGATCGAGTCCCACTTTGGGCTCCCTGCTCGGCAGGGGGTCTGCTTCTCCCTCTGCCCTCTTCCCTCATGCTCTCTGTCTCTCATTCTCTCTCTCTCAAATAAATAAATAAAATCTTAAAAAAAAAAAAAAAAGAAATTGACAATCTGTTTATAAAACTTACATGGAAATTAAAATTATCTAGAATAGTCAAAACAATTTGAAAGGGAAAAAGAAAGTTGAAATATACTACTTGATTTAAGACTTACTATAATGCCACAAATAAGGTAGTATGCTATCAATATAGAGATCGACATATAGATCGATGTAATAGAAAAGAGAGTCCAGAAGTAGACCCACACATGTCATCATTTGTTTGTGACATATGTGCCAAGTTAGTTCAGTGGGAAAAGGGTAGTCATTTCAACAAATGATACTTGAAAAATTGCATGTTTAAAAATCCTCTATCCTTACTTCACATCCCTCAGAAAATTAAGTTGAAATGGATCATAGACCTAAATGTAAGAGCTAAAAGCATAAAACTTAGAGAGGAAAACATAGGAGAAAAAAACCTTAGACTTACTAGGACACAAAAATCTCTAACCATAAAAAACATTGATAAGTTGTACTTCATCAAGATATCCTTAAGAGAACAGGGCGCCTGGGTGGCTCAGATGGTTAAGCATCTGTCTTCGGCTCAGGTCATGATCCCAGGGTCCTGGGATCGAGCCCCACATCAGGCTCCCTGCTCGGAAGGGGGCCTGCTTCTTCCTCGCCCTCTGCTGCTCCCCCTGCTTGTGCTCTTTCGCTCTCTCTGTCAAATAAATAAATAAAATCTTTAAAAAAAAAAAAAAAGATATCCTTAAGAGAACAATAAGGCCAGCCATGGAAATGGGGAATATGTTGTGAATCAAATATTAAAGAATTAAAGAATTTGTTTTAAAGGTATATAAATAACTCATACAAATAATAGGACAGTGAATCCAACAAAAAATTGGGTGAAAGATCTGAATTAGACATTTCATCAAAGATAAACAAATAGCTGGGGCGCCTGGGTGGCTCAGTCGTTAAGCGTCTGTCTTTGGCTCAGGTCATGATCCCGGGGTCCTGGGATCGAGCTCCATTTTGCAAAGTTGGGTAGCTTCTTATAAACTTAATCATCTACTAGCCATAAGACCAAACAGAGCAGTGTGCTAAGTATTTACCCATATATAAAGAAAATATACGTTCACCCAAAGCTTTTAGTCAAATGTTCATATCTTTATTTCATAATAGCTCCAACCTGAAAACAGACCAATTGTCTATCAGTCAGTGAATAGATAAACAATTTTTGGTACATTCATAAAATGGTATACTACTCAGCAATAAAAAGAATGAACTATTTGATACATCCAACAATATGGATAAGTGTCAAATGTATTACGCTCAGTGAATAATGCCTAGACACAAAAGACTTCATACTGTATAATTCCATTTATATGAAATTCTAGAAAAAGAAAAGCTATAGTGTTAGAAAGCAGATGAGTGATTATCATGGTTGGGAGGTGGGGGTAGGGAATTGGCTACAAATAGGCACAAGGGAATTGTCTATTTCATGATTAGATGGAAAAATCCAGGACTGTCATTTGTCAAAGTTCATGATAAAACTTACAAACATCTGTACATGTACAAAATTACACACGTATAAGGTTATTCGTTGCAAAAATACAAATCAAAACTACATTTCATAGAAGGCTGTCATATATGTCTGTGTATATGTATTTTATTTTATTTATTTATTTTTTATTATGTTTTGTTAGTCACCATACTGTGTAAGTGTATTTTAAAGTGCCTAGGTACCTTTAAAGGAAAATTGAATTCTTATCCAATTCTTATGAAGAAGTGCCTATAATGTGATTTTTAAATTCAACCTTTGTAAAAGTATACAGGCGAGGGGGGATTTCAGGATCCATGTAGTGCAGTGGGACCCCCAAAGCTGCTTGGACTCTTCAGAATGGGCTGGTGATTATAACCACTCTGACCTCATTATTTGGGCTTCATGTTATTCATTAGCAGCCCAAGAAAGAAAATGACAGAGAAGAGGAAATAAAAAGTGAAAAAGAGTATATAGCAACACATACTTCATCATTACTAAGCTAGTCTGTCCTAAAAAGATATAAAAATTGAAACAAAGTCCCTTTGCAAGAACTATTGCCATTTATTATTCTGGATATTAGATGAAAGCAAAGCCTCCCAAGGTAGAAAAGAGAGATTTCTAGATCGCTGGGGCCCTGACAGTCACTCTATAATTATGGCAGGTAACTTAGTCATGACTGTTCACAGACTCATCGTGGAGATCTTGGGAATGTCACTCTTCAATTAATTAAATGCCCTGCATAGTTCACAGCCGTGGTGAGAAGTAGTGATCCTTCAAATGTTAATATTCCAGTGATGGGGAAAAGCTCCATTTTCCCAAAGTACTAGACAGAGTCATATATAATAGAGGCTGCTAATATTTGAAAGTGTGTCTGTCATATGAGCAAATAGTAAAATAGGACTAGTTCACATGTCTTCAAACAGTACATAACGACAATGTTGACAGCCATTTTAACTACACTAACATCTTTTCATCAGATTCACTTCCACATGCACTGAAAATAGGATGACAAATTCAGAGGTAGCTAAAAAAAGGAAAGATGGATATATTATACCATTAATTTTTTTCAATCCTTTTTCTTCCACAACTCTGGTTCAATAAATAGATGTCTTTTATTTGGTTTCTTACTTAGAACAACCCCAAGTTTACTTGTTACTACTACAATTTAAATTCCAACAGCTGAAACATAATAAATAGGACAGTGCATGCTCTGGAGGAAGAAGACAAAGTATGAAATTTCACCTTGGTCATTTATCATCTGTGTGGCCTTGAGCAAACAGCTTAACCTCTCTGAACCTCAGTTTTCTCATCTGAAAAATTTTAAGTCCTATCTCACAGCCTTTTGAGAAAGTTAATTTAAAAGATGTAAGTGAAACATCTTCACCTAACACAGTGTTTCTCAAACTCCAACATACATAGGAATCATCTGGAGATATTAACATGCAAGTTCCCCGATTGAGAAGATCTGCAGTGGGTCCTGCAATTTAAAAGCTCCCAGGTGATATCAGTGCTACTATTCTGTTACTGCTGGTGTCATCCAGGAGCTCGTTAGAAATGTAAAATTTCATGCCCCACCCAATACATTTGAACAGAATCTCCAGGTAATTTGAACGAACATTAATGTTTGAGCAACACTGACCCAGTATCAGACCTGGCACATTGAAGATTTGTGATCTAAATATATTGTAAGTTTTGGATTATCACAGAAGTGTGCAGGATACAGATGGATTTAACATATTTTTTTCAGATTCAAAATTTGATTTTGAATTACATTCAGAGTCAAATTTTGCCAACACATTGCTTTAAGCTAAAGAGTGGCCTCACCCCAGGTCAGGCCTCTACTCTCTGACAGCTACCCAATTAGTAGCTGCTTCCAGTAGAAATCTGCATTGTCAAAGCCCTTGTCATCATTTTCCCCACCATATCTCAATTTAAGTATTTTATATAGAAAGTACGCTTACTAACTAGAATTTAAATTGTTTTGCTATGTCTGTTTATTGGAGACTATTCCTAGGAGCTTTTAGCAACATCATGTAAACCCAGTTAACACATCAAATTAGTATAGTTCAAGCCAAAGCAAAGATGATTGATGTTTGCATTAGCCTATACTGTTTTATTATGGGTACATGAATAAATGAATACGTAAGGAGTTTCTTGGGTTATTGAGGGGGGGAGGGGCTCCAAGTTAGGAAACTACTTGAGAAGCCTAGTTAGGGGTGGCAGCCAGTTTTAAGGGATAGGAGCTCAGCTTGAAAGGCAATGAGGAATATGTGAAAATATACTTGAGATTTCAGCTAATATGCCATAAAACCTGATAAATCCATTGGTTTTTTAATAAATTACTGCTTTTATTAATGGATTAACTTTGTTATCCATTGTTGTCTGATTACTTCTGCTGTCTGAGATTCGTATTCATTTCTAATTCATACTTTACAGCACATAGTGAAGATATGAGAATCAAATGGAAACCATAGTATTTTCATCTGTGTAAGAGAATTATGTTCTTTCTCAAGGTATTTTCATCATTTAAAATGCCCAGCCTAATGCTTTGCTATTTCTTGTAGAGCAGGCCTGGTAGTAACAGATTCTCTCAGTTTTTGTTTATCTAGCAATGTCTTTATTTCCCCTCCATTTTGAAGCATAGGTTTGTTGGATATAGAATTCTTGCTCGACAGTCTTTCAACATTTTGAATATCTTGTCACATTACCTTCTGGCAATGAGAAATGATGAGAAATCAGCTGTTAATCTTACTAAGGATCCCTTATACATGAGTTGCTTCTCTCTGCTACTTTCAAGATTCTTTCTCTGTTTTTGGTTTAAGACAGCTTGACTATGATGGGTCTAAGTTTGGGTCCTTTTGCATTTACCTAGCTTGGAATTTGCTGATCTTTCTTGCTATACAGATCACATTTTTCATCAAATTGAGACATTTCAGCAACTATTTCTTTAAATATTTTTTCTCCCCTGGACTCTCCTTCTGGGACTGCCATTAGGCATATGCTGGTAAACTTTATGGTGTCCCACAAGTATGTAAGGCTCTGTTTGTTTTTCTTCCTTCTTTTTCCTTTACATTCCTCAGACTGGATAACCTCAGTTGACCTATTTTCAGGTATAACAATTCTTTCTTCTGCCTGCTCATATCTGCTGTTGATTCCCTCTACTGATTTTTTTTTTCATTTCAACTTTTCAACTCCCGAATATCTATTTGTTTCATTTTTATACTTTCTGTCTCTTTATTGATTATAAAGTCTATTTGGTGAGACATTATTCTCACTTTCATCTGGTCTCTTTAGACATGGTTTCCTTTAGTTATTAGAACACATTTAAAATAGCTGATTTAAAGTCTTTGTCTAGTGAGTGTCCTGTCTGGGCTTCCTCAGAGTTTGTTTTTTTCCTGTGTATGGGCCATAATGTCTTTACTCTTTGCATGTCTCATAATTTTCATTGAAAACTGGACATTTTTAATAACATAATAATGTGAGAACTTTGGATATCAGGTCCTCCCCATCCTCAGGTTTGTTGTTTGTTTGGTGATTTATCTGGACTAATTCTATAAAGTCTGTACTTTTTGCCATATGTGGCCACTGAAGTCTATGCTTGGTTTGCTTGGTTGTCAACTAATTATTTGCAAAGATTTCCTTAAATTGCCTAGGCCAGTAAGTTTCCCATTTTTTTACCAAATGGCTCTGTATGCCCACCTTTGACATTCAGCCAGGTAGTTCAGAGCTCTGTAGTAGCCTTCAGTTTCTGCTTGTGCAGAGCCTCAAGATCAGCCAGAGGTCAGAGACTAGGGACTTAGTTCTTTCCTGAGCATGCACTCAGCTGTAGGCATGCACAAAACCCTAAACATGCCTGTAGTTTTCTAGATTCCCAGGAATAGATCCAAGTTTTTCAAAACCCCCCATGGAAATCACATTCCTCAGATTTTCCTTTTAAGCTTGTGGTTAGCCTATTATCTGTCCCAACTGTTACCCACTACTTCTGGCACCCATGATGTTAAACAAAAGAGCCCTCATTATTTTTGACAAATGCCCCTGAGAAAAATGCTCTTCACACTGGTCCAATTCCTAGTCAGATCAAATAAAGACATGCATTGTGAGGGGGGTCTTCAAGGGAACCACCAAACAGGTCAAACAATGACAATACTCTGGGAATGGAGCTTTGGAATTCCAACTCTGTTCTGCCCATTGCAGGGGCTGCCAAGCTGCTGGTTCCCACTGTGACTGTGGGATATTAGTTTTCAAGGCTATTGCAAAGCTAGCGAGAAGAGGATGGGGACAAAGTTAAAACACCACAGAGTCTGCTGTTCTGAGTCAACCATTTTTCTTGGATAAACATTCTTCAGACTGTAACAAGCCTTTAGTTAATTTCCAGATTCCTACAAATGTTGATTCAGAATACTTTTGTCAGTTGCTTTTATGGAGAAGAGGATTTCTGAAGATCCTTATTATGCCATTCTGGCTCTTGTCACTTAAAATGCCTTGAAACTTTTGAATAGTGAACAAAAGTCATATGGAGTGTCATTATTGTGCTGCATTAGAAAGACAGACCATATATCCACCAGAGATCATCTAGGGTTCCATTAAGAAATGCCACTAAAATATCTTGGTGGTTTGAGGCAATTGTCAGATGAGAGATCACATTGACCTCCTCCTGAGGAAGACTTCTCATAATTAAATCTCAAACTTGCAGGAAATGGTGTATAATGATTAAAAGCCTGTTCTTTGGAACTTGCTAACTCTGGTTTCAAGCCCTGTTTCTGCTCCTTAAGAGCTTTGTGACCTTGGTCAAGTTACTTAACATTTACAATACAACGATAATAACTACCTATTCGTAGATTTGTTTTAAAATCCAACTAAACTAGCAAAAGGAAAGTGCTTGGGGCAGTTCGTGGCACACGGTAAATGCCCAAGAACTTCTAGCTTCTATTGCTATTATCGTCATTAAGAATATAGTTCAACACTACTGATAACAATGTGGAACGTTCATCTGATTGTGGTTCTGTAAGAGTCGCTTTCGAGGTGGGAAATAAAACTATTTCACTCATACTACTGTGTTTCCGGTGCAATTGCAGGCACTGTGGTGGTCCAGCAGTTGATGTCAGTGATGATTGGCAAACATGATCGCCTCTTCCCCAAAGATGCAGAACTGCAAAGCAAACCCCAAGATGGAGTGAGCAACAACAACAATGAAATTCCAAAGAAAGCCACCATGGGTCAGCTACAGAACAAGGAGAACAATAATACCAAGGACAGTCCTGGTAGGCGGTGCTCTTGGGACAAGTCCGAGTCTCCCCAGAGAAGCGGCATGGATAATGGATCCCCCACAGCTCTACCAGGTAGTAAAACCAACAGCCCAAGGAACAGCGTTCACAAGCTGGATGTGTCTAGGAGCCCCCCTCTCATGGTCAAAAAGAATCCTGCCTTCAATAAGGGCAGTGGGATAGTCACTAATGGGTCCTTCAGCAGCAGTAATGCAGAAGGTCTGGAGAAAACCCAAACCACTCCCAATGGGAGCTTACAGGCCAGAAGGACCTCTTCCCTGAAGGGGTCTGGTACCAAAATGGGCACCCACAGTGTACAGAACGGAACGGTGCGAATGGGCATTTTGAACCCCGACGCTCTTGGGAGCCCCATGAACGGTCGTAGCATGAGCTGGCTGCCCAATGGCTATGTGACCCTGAGGGATAACAAGCAGAAAGAGCAAGCCGGAGAGTCAGGCCAGCACAACAGGCTCTCCACCTATGACAACGTCCATCAACAGTTCTCCATGATGAACCTTGATGACAAGCAGAGCGTCGACAGCGCCACCTGGTCCACTTCCTCTTGTGAAATCTCCCTCCCCGAGAATTCCAACTCCTGTCGCTCCTCCACCACCACCTGCCCAGAGCAAGACTTTTACGGGGCTAATTTTGAGGACCCTGTTTTGGATGGGCCCCCGCAGGACGACCTCTCCCACCCTGGGGACTATGAAAACAAGAGTGACCGGAGGAGTGTGGGAGGTCGAAGTAGTCGTGCCACCAGCAGCAGCGACAACAGTGAGACATTTGTGGGCAACAACACCAGCAACCACAGTGCACTGCACAGTTTAGTGTCCAGCCTGAAACAGGAGATGACCAAACAGAAGATAGAGTATGAGTCCAGGATAAAGAGGTGAGGAAAATCCGGAGCTCCTAGCTGCCCGAGAGGCTGCAACCGCCTCCTCCTGCAAGGATAGGTTCACACAGGAGGTTAAACATGCTGGCTCCAGAGCTAGAGACCCGAGTTCGAGTCCAGGCTTCCCCACTTATAAGCTGTGGGACTTGGGGAAAGTGGTATATGAGCTTTCGGGTTCTTACTGTGAAAAACTGAAATATGAGTGGTTTTTACCTTAAAAGCATGTGAGAAATCACTGAGCGTTGTCCCTGGCACAGAATAGTTGCTCCATAATGCTATCTTCTGTTATTAAATGTGTGGGGTTGTGTTACGGACGGGGAAGGGAGGGTCTGGGGTAAATGGAAAGTAAGGAGCCTGTTTTCACTGATGGCAAGAGGATGAAATGAGGGTGAAGAAAAGGTGTCAAAAGAAACAGATCTTTTATTTTTCCTTCTTTTAATCGTTGAATGCTGGAGAGAGTGTCCGCTGTCCGCCAGGCTCAGCGCCAGGCCTTAAGGGTTCAGTGGTGAATAAAATAGACAAAAACTCAGCCCTCATGGAACCTGTTTCCATTCCACTGCAGAGACAGATCAAGAAGTAAAGTAGCTCAGATGCTGAGTGGAAGACTAACACAGGGACGAGGGGTAAGAAGCATTGGTGAGGTGTAAGGTCCCCGGCAGCGACTGCTGGAAGGCGGTCACAGAGGAAGCCGTGCGGTTACCTGGGAGAAGAGCCAGTGGAAATGTCACGAGATGGGATGGGCAGGGGCCTCAGAGAGGGAACAGGGCCCAGTGACATAGGACCTTGGGGATCATTTTAAGTCTGGCTTTTTTTTTTTTTTAAAGATTTTATTTATTTATCTGAGACAGAGAGAATGAGAGAGACAGAGAGCACATGAGAGGGGGGAGGGTCAGAGGGAGAAGCAGGCTCCCTGCCGAGCAGGGAGCCCGACGCGGGACTCGATCCCGGGACTCCAGGATCATGACCTGAGCCGAAGGCAGTCGCTTAACCAACTGAGTCACCCAGGCGCCCATGGCTTTTATTCTGAGATTGGAGGTTTTTGAGAAGAGCGTTTGTATGGACAAGGGAAATTGTAGGATAAACAAGGAGCAAAAGCTATGAGTTATAAGGAAGCGATTATGCTAAACCCTAATTTATATCAGTTTATATCTTCTCATAAGATGACCAAGGTAGAAGTGTGCCTAACAACTTCTCCGGGGAAGCAGCCGTAGCAGGATAAGGGGTGTTGGCCAAGTGTCCTGTGTTTACAGCGCCCCAACTGTCACATGTTCCGTGGGCTTGAGAGGTGGGACTGGAGAATGGAGCCCAGGGCTCACAAACAGCACCTTGGGCCAGAAACCAGAATGTCCCTCCCCTGCATTTTCACCATGGTTGCGGAAATTCTAAAACGGATGGTCTTTATGTTCTCCTTTCAGCTTAATGTAGGCGGGAGGACACTTAACTCTCAAGTAGGAGAAGGCTTAAGGCTCAGTTCAGCATGAAGCTGCCCCGCTGTGGTCTCCGCCCCAGTTTCAGGCTGTGTGGCTTTGTGGGCCTCCTGCTTCCTGGGTGCTCCGGGGTCCGCAGAGGAGTGGACGTCAGTCTTTGTCCTGCTTCGGTAGCTGCATGCGTCCAGACCCCACGTGGCTGCTTCTTTATCCATAAAGTTGGCTTCAATGTAATTTAATTTGTGTGCCATCCATCAGTCAGTTATCAGGCTAAAAGATACAGATTTTCAAGAGCTTTGGTAAAGCAAATATAACCTAAAGTCCTACTTATACATTAAGTTGAAAAATGACTTTCTTAGGAAGTAGTCTTTGTAAACCTTGCTGAACAGAAACTTGGTTTGACTTTTTCTATATAATGCCAAGTGACAGGAGGTTTACAGAAGAAGAAAAATGCCATCAGCTTATAAGGTAACTCTCATTTCTGAATGTAGTTTTTGGAACCACTGGCTATCAGCACTCTGAATTTCTGCCAGTACATGACGATAACTTAGCACTTAGCACTGGGAAGCAAGAGATAACACTTTAAACTTGTATTAACAGAGGGAAAAAAAAGCTATTCTGAATGGCTGCCAATGTACACATTCATTTGTGAGAACATTGGTGGCCTATTTATGTTCTGTGATCTATGGCACATTTCAGAGACTTTGAGAAAATAATGGAACTTTCCAGTAGAATGTCATCTCAGTGGGCCCTCCTCCTGTAGCATTCTTACCTGCCAGAGGGCTGGTCCCCTGCTGTACAACAAAGTGGGGCAGAGAAGCTGCCAGGGGCCCAAGCCAGAGAAATAGAAGAGGTTAACTGTTCTAGTTAATTTTTGATTGTTCCTATTTGCAATCATACATTTCTCTTTCAGTTTCTTTTAAACTCCATCCCTTAAAATATTGAAGTTAGACAAATTCATGGATAGGTGATATAGATAGATGATAGATAGATAGATAATACTTTGTTTAGTTATCAATCACCGATATGTGTTGTTTAGCTTTTAAACGTGTGAGTTTGATATTCTTTTACCCCCAAAATTAGTTTCTAACTTTACTGTGGAGAAATTTGTTTACATGATATCAATTATTTGACCTGGTAAAAACTATTCTCTTTTTACTCGTTTGGGGTTCTATATAGGACTAATAGATCAAGTCTGTTAGTCAAGTTGTTCAATCCTTCTACTTTTCTTCTAATTTCTATCAGATCTATAATTTCTGAGAAAGAAAAATCACCTAATATTATGATAGATTTATCAATTTCTCCTTATAATTTTGTTATATTTTATATTGAATAATGTGAGGCTAGACTACTGGGTGAATAAAAGTTCAGTATTGTTTATATCTCTGTGATGAATTGGTCCTTTTATCCTTAAGTCATGGTCATCTTTAATGGTAATAATGCTTTTTGCTAAAAAAATCTCTTTCTTCTGATACTAATATTGCTATGCCACTTTTAGTTTGATTAGTAACTTCCTGGCAGAAGAGACTTGAGCTACCTAGCAATGACATTTTCACTATCATTATTTTTCCTTTGATTGAAAGCAAATATGATGTCCTCTTTCTCTCCCAACTTTATCAGACTTCCCCTTTTCTTTTAGTGAAGCCAGCTTTATCTGAAATGACTCCAGGAAGCCCTGTGGTTTGGGTTGCCTCCTGCATCTGCCATTCTATGCTCCCTGACAATCAGCCTCTAGCTTCTCTGTGCTGACATTCATTCATTCACAATCAAATGACAATTAAGTGCTTCCAAGCGAGGTCCTAGGGGCTTCTTGTTAAAATGATAATAAATCATCCTAGCAAATAGAATGAATGAATGATTGAACAAATGAATAAAAATACATCTTTTAAATCATTAGACCTTGCTTTACTGATTTGCAAGGGCCCATTACAATTTCCTAAGCATTGTAGAGATAAGAGTTCAGAAAATATTTGTATCCCTGTCACGTTTCAAGTGAATAAAATCACTTTATCCTTTATTCCCTCCCTCACCCTATCTAGCTTAGAACAGCGAAACTTGACTTTGGAAACAGAAATGATGAGCCTCCACGATGAACTGGATCAAGAAAGGAAAAAGTTCACAATGATAGAAATCAAAATGCGAAACGCCGAGCGAGCAAAAGAAGATGCCGAGAAAAGAAATGACATGCTTCAGAAAGAAATGGAGCAGTTTTTTTCCACGTTTGGGGAGCTGACAGTGGAACCCAGGAGAACCGAGAGAGGAAACACAATATGGATCCAGTGAGCCTGCTTGCTCCCGCTGTCTCCGATGGATCTGGGAAGGGCTCTGGGGTTCTGGTGGGAACATTATCTGGGATCAGGTGCTGGTCCCCTGCTGTACAGTGCTCTAACTGGTGAAGGAATATCATTTACAGACATTACCCATCCATATCTGCAATGTGTACCAAAGTTATATCATGCCCCCTAATGCTACTGTCAAGTGTTACAACTGGATATGTGTATAGAGAGTAGTTTTTAAAAAGTAAACTAAAAATGAGAAGCATATCTCAAGAATTATTTTATTGCAAGTCTTGTATTTAAAATGTTAAATCAATACATTGTTGCAATTTAGCTTGCTTTCAAGCTTCACCCCTTGCACTTAACATAAGCTATTTTTGGCATTGTGTTATCATCAGCTTATTTTATAGATCGATATTTTTATTTCCCCTTTTGCTGAGGAAATGAAGATAAGCAGATATATAAATATATATAAATACGTATCAGATGAGTTATTAAAATCAAAAGAGTACTTTGTGGCTGTGCTGTTTGTGTTAACAGACCTCGCCATGACCAAAAAGAGAAATGTAAACGGTTTTATAAAATACAGTAGAATCACCAGGAACCTTTGATTTGCTCTTTAAATTCTTCCGTCGCCACTGCTCAGTTTTTCTTTGTGAGGTGACTTGACACAGAGAATTTTGGATTTTGTAAAAAAAGGCCCCTTCTCAAGGCCTGTTGTCTGCCTGGCCAGTCCCACAGATGCATGTCTCCTGTGCAGAATGCACTTAAGAGAGGGAAATTGTACAAGCATTTAAGGAGTCACGCCATGAATTACTCTGGCCTTCTGAACTGAGTCTCTGCAATGGCTAGATGGCTTGGAGAACCGTTCTTCCCGCTCTCTGGAGGTTGAGAAGCAACGCTCGCTACACTACGCCACAGGAACACCTCTGTCCTCTCAGACCTTTTCTCCATCCCCCAGCAAACACACCTTGCAATGCAGGCAGTGAGATGGCGTGCCCGTGACCCTCTCGGTTAAACTGCTGGCCTGTGTGCTACATAGTGACATGTTTCTCTCACTCAGGCCTACTATTCTGTTGTCACCTGGGATTCTGTCCCCAGGACTGCTGGCAAAGGCAGGGGATGGAGTGGATAGCCCAGAAGGAGAAGGAGACAAGTTTGGGAGAAAAACCAACCATTTGGCCTCTAATTTTTACAATATTGTTCCTCCCAGTTGAAAACGTATTTGTTCACAATAATTTTAAGACGTGAATGCTTCAAGGTCCAATTTTGACAAGTTTATGCACATGAGTGATGGTGACCGTCTAGAGGAGCCCAAGGCTCTCTGGAGCTAGAGTTTGGGGAGAACAACTCTTCATACTCCAATAAGGCAATGATTTTAAGAAGCCAGGCAAGTAAATATTTCTCACACTAGAACAAAAATTCACAAAAGGCATAACTGGAAATAAAGACTGCTTGAGTTTATAGGATTGTGTTGTTAGAAGGTTCTATGTCTGTGTTTACTTACTTATTTTCAAAGGGGAAAACAGTCTTTAGAGCATCCAACCTTGTCACCATTCACTTTTGTGTATATCCTTCCACCAAGCAAACTTTTGTGGTCCCTGGGTTTTAACCACTATCTATAACAATGATATCTTCTTCACCTTTGGTTTCCTGTTCTCCCTCTCTTTCCGATTCTTTAACCAGATACTTCCACCTGGATATCATATAGAAAAGTTAAACTCAAAATGTACGATGTTGATCTCAATGGGTCTCTCTATATACATTTCCATTTCTTCCCAGTCCCTGTCCTAGCGAATGAAAACATTGGACATCCAAGGAGTTGAAGGATGCATGTATCCTTCATCAAAAGCCATGCAGTTACCCTGCCTGCATTTAGATTTTCCACAAATCACTAACTGTGACTGAGACTTCTAGGCATCACTTTTTTCGCTGTAGACTGGGAATAACAAAGATACTCCCCTCATGGACTTGTTACATGGTTTCAATAAGGTAGATGATGTGAAAGCTGAGCACAGCATGTAGTGGACAGAAAGGATACCCTGAATGTTCATTCTCATTTTTCTCTCCACTCTTCTTCACTCTTGAATTCACTCACCAAGTACCATCCAGTCCACTCATCCCTGCCTTTTGAGTCTACTCTCTTTGATCAGTTCCTCCTCATCTTTGATGAAAGCATCTCTCCTTTTGCAGGGTGCCCCTTCTAGACCACCCATCTGACCATATCATGGCCTTGCTACCTAGTATCATGTGAAGACTCTCACCTGCCCACAGGATATGCCCTTCACATGGTGTAGAAGACTGTGACCTGCAGTTTTATTTGTATCTCCTACCACTTTCCCCACCCCTACCATACCATTTCGTGCCTCTGGAAATTTCCACCTTCTATTGTCATGTCCATCTTCACTACCTTCCTTCTACCTGGCACAGTCCTACCCTTTTTTTTTTTTAAAGAGCCAAATCAAATGTCAGTTCCCCTATAAAGTTTCTAGGATCTCAACTCAGAATTAATTACCTCGTGCTCCCATTTTGTGTATATATCTTTTAGTCTTTTCCACATCTGATTATTTTCTTCACCAATAAGAAACATTTTAGGAAGCAGCATGGTAGAATGGAAATAGCAGGAAACAGAGAGCCAAACAGACCTACACATGCACCTTGACATGCCTTAGGCAAAGATGCACAGCAATGAATGACAAGTCATTTAACTTTTCTGAGCCTCAGTTTTTTCATCTGTAAAGTGGAGGCAATAAATCCTACCAAATAGGGACATTGTAATATTTAAAAGTGATATGTAATGTGACTATCCCAGTGACTGCCAGTTAGCTCTCTTGATAGCTCTATTAATAAATGGAGCTTCCTAACCTAAGAGAGTAGAATTGTATTTTACTGATCTTAAATCCCTCCATCTCCACCCTTTATTCCATAGAGTGCCAGCATGGAGAGTTAGCCATAAATCTGATCTTTGATTAATGAGGGATGCTGCTGCTAATTTTAATTATCAATCTCAGTGATGATGACCTTCGATTGATGGATACCATGAGTAGCTTTTTCATCTGGGTTTCCTTTAGTTCTTCCATTAATTCAGCTAGAGGCCCAGAAAATATCAACTACAAATTGACAAAAATAAAATGGAAATAAGTAGATAGTATCAAGAGTTCATTTGCTACATCCTGTATAGACTTCTTTAAAACTATTTAGGTAACTAGAATGATTCTTAAATTATGAGCTCAGGAGAAAGGATTTGCTTCCAAGTGTTGGGTCTATAATGTTGGTTTCACTAGCCAAACCATATGGCTAGGTATCCTCCAGAGAACATTTAAAAGAGAATTGTGTATGACAGTAGGCCAACTGAAGTCTATGCTTCTTAAATGTTGTTTCTATATGTCATTTTATTATGAAATGACTAAAAACTTGAAGGGAAATTTAAATAATCTCATTCCTATTTATTTATTCACAAGCTGAGCCTTAAATTAAAAAAAAAAAAATAAGTCATTTCCAGGCAGGATAGTTTAAATCATTGATATAATTATCGCCCCTGGGAAATTCAGGAGAATTTAAAGACTGTGATACTGGCCATAAACCTCAGTGTTCCTTTCATTGCAGAATAGCATCCTGCTTAAAGTAGCATCACAGAAAATGATATGCATAATATCGGAATCAGAGACCTGGATTTCAAATCTCAGTTCTACCACTTTGTAGCTATAAGAATTTAAGAAAAGTTACATGATGTTGGTAAGCCTCAATTTGTTTTTCTGTAAAGTAGGATAATACTAGAGTCTCCTCCTTATTGGGTTTTTTGTTTGTTTGTTTGTTTGTTTGTGTTTGTTTGTTGTTGTTGTTGTTGTTTTGAGAAATGACTAAGTTAACTGACTCCCACAGTACATATTGTAAGTGCTCAATAAATGGTAGCTGTCAGCCCTCAAATTCTTTCTACTGAAAGGGTATTCCAGCTTCTAGAAAATAGAGTTCTGGCCTCAAGAATTTGGCCAGCATGGTCACCAACAGAGGATATAATTCTGTCCTTGTCCCAGGAGCACTAATCTTACCTTTGCCCGGATAATCCTCCAGAGATTTGATGGCAAGGAAGAGATAACCCAAGGTGTCCTTTCTCCCCGAGATCATACAATTACATCCATGATCTGAGAATAATGTCCCAAGAATCACCCATAACTGTCTCACATCAACTCTCTGTGGACACTGAAGATTATGTTCAGTTTTAAAGGTATTGGGTAAAAGACAATGAAAGTCTAAGAATATAACCAGTGAATGTGCCTAGATTCACATCAGCATCACCATTAGTGAATATTGATTGAAGGCCTCCACATGCCCCACCAGCACTAGACTTGGTGCCTGGGGTATCTAGTGTATAAATAACTACCGCATACGATGATGTTCTGTGAAAGTAGTTCGAGGTCACAAAAGTGAGGCTGGGAAAGGCACTGCAGAGCCATGACTATGAGTCCTAAAGAATAAGTAGGAAGTTATCAGAGAGCTTAGCAGTTTGGGTCAGGGGCTCCCCTAGTCCATGGAGAAGTATGTGCTTAAGTGCCTTCAGGGCAGACCCTAGGGGGCCTTTCTAGTGAAATAAAAGTGACCTATTGGGGCACCTGGGTGGCTCAGTCGGTTAATCGGCTGCCTTCGGCTCAGGTCATGATCCCGGGGTCCTGGGATCGAGTCCCACATTGGGCTCCTTGCTCAGTGGGGAGTCTGCTTCTCCCTCTGCCTGCTGGTCCCCCTGCTTGTGCTCTCTCCCACTCTGAAAAATAAATAAAATCTTTAAAAAAAATGACCTACTAAATGTGCACCATCAGGGTGGTCTTGGGCATAATGACTCACTCACACACCACCAGGAGATCAGAAAACAGCACCCAGGCAGCTTCCACCCTTTTGTTCAAATAAAGCAGCCCGAGCCAGACACATTCTGACTTGTTGGAACTCACAAAGCACAGAATAAGAGTGTGGACTTGTAGCTCCCAAAGGCCTATTTCATTATTCTCTTTATAGTCTTTTTAATTGCACAAGTAGAGAATGAGTTGACTGGCCAGCTTAAAAGCTCCTTGCTGCAAAACAACGTGAAGAACTAACAGCTCCCCAAGCTGTGGAAACCTACCAAACCTACTGTAGATCTTCGAATAGAAAGTTTAGCAGATGTAAGTGTGTTTTTTAATGCGCCATTTGTGGCTTGGGTCCAGGACTGAATAATAGTCTTAATTTATGGACCATGTGTAGCTGCTACCTTTCGGGCCCCTGGAGAGCTAAAGCACATGGAGACCAGCCCATTTAGGGAGGGTTACATTTCTCAAGTAGAAAGTACTGTATCGTTTGAATAAGGAGTTAAATTGGCCCTCAGCATACTACCTGTTTTTGTGGACACTATGCCCCTTCCATCCCTCACACACATTCCCTGCCTCCTCATGATTCATTAGAATCCATTACATACCACACCAAAGCAATCTCTAGAGTTGGGCCATCTTGCCCTCATCCTTGATCACCTATTGCCAAAATCATCCAAATCACATGTCATTTGCCTTCGCTATTATGCTTATCCCCATATTGCTCAGCATATTCCCTCATTCGCTTCAAACTCTGATTCCCTCTCTACTCCTACTATTCCCTCTCTACTTTCCATTATATGTTCTAGAACCTTCCAGCTGCCATCATCCTCCCCTAAATCTTTTCTGAAATATGGTTACTGCTTCTTGCAGCCCTCCCAAGGATGGCCATTTTCCCTTCCCACAATCTGCATGTCATTAGCCTGAAGGGGAGGGGTAGGTCTTGCTTTGCTCTTTGATGCTACTTCCAGAACTTAGATCCTCCCACTCCCCTAATAACTCCATAGAAGTACATGTCACATGACCAATTATTTTAGCACCTAATCAACTGGTTTCCCCCCCAAACCACCACTCCTCTGCCATCCACCAACTTGGCCACTCAGCTCCTTGAGCTGCTCACTTCTGAAAATCTTGATCTCCCCCTGCATGAACATCAACCACCCATGCCCACAGTTTTCCTTATTCCATACCATTACCAATAACTGCACCATTGCCAAAACTTCCATTTCAAGCATTCACTGTCTCATTATCACCTATCCCCTTCTTAGGTCTTTCCTTTAGCACCATCACTCCAACAATTTTTAGAAACTCCCAAAGAGGCGACAAGCCATTGACTTTGCTAATGGCGATCATCCCCTCAGGTTATTGCTTCCCTCCCTGACCAGCTCAGCTTCAGTGGTTCCTCACCATAATTATTCTTTTCCTTATTCCCAAATCCCTACATATTCTCTTCCACCACTGTACTCATCAGGTAAGGAAAAACACCCAGCTCAACTCTCCTAACTCCAATTCCTTCTAATTCCTAACCTGCACCTGAGAAACTAAATATGGCTAGAGAGCAAAAGGCCACCATGTTGACTTGTCCCACTTATAGCTATATAAATATGGTTCACATGGCTCTCATCACTGTCTAGTAACTTAACTTCATACTTTTCAAGGTCAATGTCACACTTCTCAAACCTCCATAAGCTCTTTCCCTTCACATTCTCAGCTAGTAACATTACTTATATAACCTAACTTACTGATAACCTGTTTTTAATGAGAAAACAATACCAGAAGAGTATGTCCTTATGTTCCATCCTCATATCCACCCAACTGTCTACAGGCAATCTGTACATAAGACCATACCTCCTGCTACAATGACTGTGCCACCTGCTCTAACCAAGCCAAGTGCCCCTCCCATACAGACGTACACATCCCTCTGGCCTTTTCAAGCACATTACTGCTTCAAATAAATATTCTTTCTCTCTTATATTATGAATTTTGCTCTTTACATATTAGTCCTATCAACATAAACCCACGCTATAATAGCTTTCTTAAAATTCTCTCATGTCATATTTATGTCTAATTTCCACTTTCCAGAAAAAAATTCTTGAATTTTCTCTACCTATTTCTAATTCCTCACTTCCCATGTTCTCTTGAACTCACTAGAGTCATGCTTTCTTGCTCAATACTGCAGAGAACATGCTCTAATAAAGGTCAGCAATGACCTTCATAAAAATCAAGTCCAGTTGTGAGTCTTCAGTCCCCATCTTCTTCAGCCACTCAGCAGCATTGTCCCAGGTGCCCAACCCCTCATTTTTTAAACACCTTTACTTGGCTTCCAGGATAGCACACTTTCCTGGTTTTTGCCTCACTGGACATTCCTCAGGATACTCAAATGTTTGTTAACTTCTATATGTTGGAACAAGAGGGGCCTCCATCTTTGGACTTCTCTTCTTTATCTACCCTCAGTCTCTTGGTGATCTATAGTCTCATGGTTATAAATAACACTTACGGGGCACCTGGGTGGCTCAGTTGGTTGTCTGCCTTCGGCTCAGGTCATGATCCCAGGGTCCTGGGATCAAGCCCCACATCGGGCTCCCGGCTCGGAGGGAAGCCTGCTTCTCCCTCTCCCACTCCCCCTGCTTGTGTTCCTGCTCTCACTCTCTCTCTCTCTGTCAGATAAATAAAATTAAAAAAAAAAAAAATAAGTAACACTTACAAGCTGATTATGCACAGATTTATGTTTCAGCTCAACTTCTTCCCTTAGTCCAGCCTCGTAGACACTCCTGCTACTTCACTAGGGTATCTAATAAATATCTCCAACTAACATTTCCAAAAAAAGTATGATTTTCTTCCCAAATGTGCTCCTAACCCATTGTTTACCACTTCGGTCAAGCACACCATTACTTACTTGATGGTTTAGATTTTTAAAAATTCTGGAATTATCCCGATCTCCTTCTTTCATATCACATATCAATCCATCAGCAAATGTTGTCAACTTTGCCTTCACAATACATCTTAGTTTTGTCCTCTATCCACCCCTTCCCAGCCCCTCCACTCTCTAGTCCAAGCCCCATGGTATCTTTCTGTGCTACCGTTATATCTTACAAGAGCCTCTTTGTCCCCATTCTTATCTTTCTTCTCAACCTCCTCTCTCTACTCAGCAGCCAGAGAGATCCTTTTAAAAAGAAAATTTAGATTATATCATTTCCCTGCTCAAATCTATCCATCATCTTCCTATATTTAGAATAAAATCCCAAGATCTTGCCATGCTCTCACCCCTGCCTAACTCTTCAATTTCACTTACTATCACACTTTCTCTTGTCCATTTTGCTTCACCCACACAAGGCTTTTGGTCATGCCATACACACACACACACACACACACACAAACACAGGCTCTCACTCCAGGGCTTTTACCCATATATATATATATAGGTTCTTACCCCAGGGCGCTTGTACTTGCTTTTGCCTCAAATACGAATACGGCTCACTCTCTTACTTTATTTGGGTCTCTGCTCAAATATCATATTTTTTGAGAGGCCCTCCCTGACCACCTCATCTAAATAGTATCCCTTATCAAGCCTTATCCTTTTAACCTACTTTGTTTTGTTTCTTAACGCTTTCCACTACCTTATTCCCCCATTAGAATATAGACTAAATAAAGGCAAGAAGATTGCCTGAATTCATCACAACTGTGTGTGCCAAGAACAGTCCTTGAGTAACTGAAGTGCTCAGTCAATATTTGTGACGTGAACCGGTGAGTGTGAATGCTCAGAGCTCAATGTCCAATTTCTGGTTCAGATATCCAGGGATGTTCTGAGTTGGAATTTTTAATAAAAAATAACTAAATTCTGTCTTAAGTCATTGCAGGGCTCCACTCATTACCCACAGACTGCACAAATTTCAGAGATTTGGCTTCCTATGAGAGTATCACTACAGAGAGACTCCAGTATCCATTGTGATGTCATTTGCTGATTAGAGATTTCGGTGCCAGAAATATGAGCCTCGAGCCCAGCCTCTGAGCTTACTCACTCTCAGAGGAAACTGTATCAAAATAAACGTCATGTAATGCAGAAAAGAAACATCATGTTGTTTTTGGTTTTTGGTTTGTTTGTTTTGTTTTGTTTTTTGGCCTCAGAAACTTTTATCTATTCTTTTCAGGATACCGATACCGTAAGTCGTTGATAAGGTCTCAGGGTGTCATCACATTTCTCCCTTTATCCGGAGACTGACATTTGTTTAAAACATACCAAAAGATAGCAGTCTACCATTTAATTAAAGGAACAAGAGTGCAGATACACATATTTCCCCACTGACTTAATGCAGATCTACTTGTATTTTTTATCTCCATGCTATTTTTTTAATAAATGTAAAAATGGTTTGATCTCCTATAATGTCATGGAAAATATCCAAAATTCTCTTGTGCTGAGTCATTTTGACAAAATGATAACATTGAAAGAAGCAGATTTCTTATTTCATTGCTTTAAGGGAGTAATAAAAATGGACTCATTCAGGTCACACCACTAATCTGAACACATTGTTATTTTAAAAGAAAGTAAACAAATGAGATAGAAATATTGTGCTTTAGCTACTGATTTTTACACTGAAAGATGTATTTACTCTGAAGTTTTGAGGATAAAGACTATGCCGTATTTGTCTCCTACCTAGGACACAAAGACAGATGTCCCATAAATGTTTTTGGAGTGAATGAAGGTACGACTTTAAAATGTAGCTCAGAAATCAAAGTGGAAATTCAGAGCTGTTTTCTTAGAGCTTAATTTGCACCTAATCCAAGTGTGTAATGTATTAACATTAAGGAAGGAGCAATTGCTTTTCAAAGAGTTGCTTTTATAAAAGAAATACTTTAATATTACTAGTTGCCCTAGTCCATGTAAAATATTATTTGGGTCCTAAAAATCGATTTTGTGTAAATTTCTCATAGACAATATTTTCACCAATGTGAATGGCAAGCATTGATAGCAGGCAAACTACGAGTGAGACAATTTCCTAGTCAGAGTGTGGAATGTTTTTTAAGATGAATCACATTTTGCACCTGCTTTTGAGTTGCAAACAATCTAGACTGTTGGGTAAACAGAAAGATTCCAGACAAGATGTGGGGGGTGGGGGAGTGGAGAGAAGGACAGGACCAGAAGTTGGGTGACAAGGAGGTGAAGTCACCCACTCCATGGAGTGAAAGTGGATCCTCTGAAATTGCAGGAGAAGCATGTCTTTAAAGCAAGAAATACGTGACATAGAAAGGGCAGGAAATTCCAACCGAGCGTTTGACTCGTTTGTGTTATATGTCATCACATTTCATGCGTTCAAGAAATGTCCATTTCCACAGCTTGTTTTCAGTAACTAAAACAGAACACACTTCTGTAAAAGGTTGAGCAGATTGAATTCGGTCTGGAGCTGAGAGCGAGAACGTGCCCCGTGCAGTGGCCCCTGACAGGAAGTGATCTGAGACAGTGGGATGTTCAGTGTGCATCACTACTTGTAAATGTGTTCTGGGCATGCCTTTCAAAGCCCTTGGGGGGAAAGCACGCTGCAAGTGCGAATAGCATTCTGATGAACCGATAATATCAAAAACTTCTACCTTGGGCAAAACCCAGTGCAGTTACTGAGCAAACAGAACCATCCTTCTAGGTTGGTCCTTACATAAGTAGCTGCAGGAAAGGTAATTCTCAGGACTCCTTTCTTCTCCTCAGTGCAAAAGTAAGTCAAATTACCCAAATATTTGGTAACATTTATGGTACCTACAATGCACCAATATCTCCTTCTGACCCTTTCTATCCAAGAGCAATCTAGTGGAATGCAATTTCCCTTCTTAATATTGGAGGTATTTTCAGGTACCCATATGTGGCCATTTTAAAACTTACTTTATTAAAAGAGTAAAGAGTTGTGGCTTAAAAATGGAATAGAAGCTATGCTAGAGATGCAAAAGGCATTTGGCTTCTATTTTTCTTATAAATAAAAGGATAATTTGTGCTAACTCAAAAGAATAAACACATTTATCATCCAGGTTTTCTAATAGGGAATTGGTTAAATAAAATGTTTTATTTACAGAAACAGAAAGGCCATTCCTTGACATTTTCAGATACTTCCAGCTAAATTAACATAGATTCAGTGACTTCGTTATCAAGCCACAAAATCTTAATTTTTTTTTTAATTCACCAGGGAGTTCAAGATATTAAGGTTGCCTACCATATGGACAAAAAACCTGCTTGCCTTCTCTTTTGGGTAATAATTAAACTAATTAGGAATTCTGATATTAAGGAGGGCACAGGTTTTGATGAGCACTGGGTTATACGAAGCTAATGAATTGTTGAACACGACATCAAAAACTAATGATGTACTATATGTTGGCTAACTGAACATAATAATAAAATAATGTAATATAAGAAAAAGAAATACTGATAAATTAACCTAAGGATATTTAACCCTGTTCTACTCATCTAATCCTCACAGAAAATGATTTCCTTCCCTTCATTGATTTTATACCTTCAAAGAAACTTACCAAATTGCAGATACACAACTAATATCTGTAGAAAGAAATGAAGGTCATTTTTAGGTGAAACCGGTCCCAAATGAACACATAGCCTTATGGCCACGTACATATTACACAGTCTTTACCGATAGTGAGAAGGTAGGTCATTCCTCATTTCTTATTTATTCCCTGGCATAATCAGACCACACCATGAAATCATGTGAGATGCTTCAGAGCTCCTATCAGGACATGAAACCCAAGACAACGAGCAGCACAATAACCATTGTCAACAGGCAAACTCCAACAAAGTCTGGATTTGGATTTGGTTTTATGTTAAGGGAAGCAGATTTGCTCTGGTTTTTAATAATTCATAAGAAACAGAAATCACAATGTATTGAGTCAGCATCCACCTACAAAGAGTCCAAAAAAGCCAAAGGTCTCCCCCACTCACCCTCTTGTTCCACCGACATTTTGAAAATAAAGGGAGAAAACAGAAATGAAAAAAGAGAGTGAGAAGGAACACAGATATGATTTAAATAATTTCAAATCCTTATTAAACATCACTGAGATTGCATTTGATCCATCAGGCTGACTTTCAGTTCTCACCACTAAGACCTTGCAAAGAAACTGGACATGCATGGTTTTGCCTTCCAGGGTTGACCTAGAACTATAAGGGTGAGGTGTATATGAATGTGGGTGTGCTTTAAGTCCATTTTATAAACACTGACACAGGACAATTCTTATCATTGGATATAGTCTTTTGAGTCCAATCATGCAGAATAACAGGCATGTGCAAGTTAGGTCTTGTTGCAAGATAAACATGGCAAGGTGAACAGTTTAATGCTAGACAAGGGTTGGGAGATTTGTTTTCATTAGAATATACTGGCCATTGGTCCCACATAATCAAAAGTTAGATATACAGGAGTCCACATACAAACAGAGGCCTTCCATTTCAGCTTGACTGACCAAGGAAATGGGTCAGAGTGAACCATTTCAGACAAAGAAAGAACTGTCTAAGTTCTGCCAAAACAAATAACAAAATCTTATATTTTAGTCACATGGAAAATGACTAATATAATTATTTACATTGTAACTTGTTTGTTGTTTTTACAGAAAGGAGTATCCCTGCTTGGTTTAATTTCATCTGTAGAAAATGTAGGACTCACAATTAAAATGTTGGTGGGGAGCTTGTGGGTGGGGAGTGGGGTCCCTCTTAAGACCCAAAGTGATCGGGATCAAAGATTGCTGGGACAGTATTATTCCTTTCTCTGAGCTATAGAAGATCAATTTTTCAGCAAAGCTGGGTGACAACATTCTTTACAGAGCATAACGTTTTTAAGATTTCGATTGTCATATGTTAAGAGAATTAAATAGAAGTAGGCTTTGTAGAATTTAGATTTTGCAATGACTATTTGAAATTTAAAAGTCAGTTTTGCTAATTTTCCCCTGGCAGGTCATAAAAGGATTGATGGATTCTCATCTTATCTATTCCACTTATTCCCTTTGTCAGGACCTATTTTATGATTTACCAGTCAGCTGCTATCAGTATCCTTAAGTAATATTTTCTGATCATGGTAGCAGATTGAACAAAAACTATTGCCTCGGTCTTCAATTAAACAGCTTGCTCCACTTGGAGGGAATTGGCCAGGACCGGGTCCACCTCAAGTATACATTCCTACAAAGCTCAGTCATCAGATTCTTGAAGATGTGCAAGATTGTTAGGGGTTCTTATTCCACAAGAAGAAATTTGGTTGTAAGGCCAATGTATCTCTTTTTAAAAATGAACACACTGACCGAAAAATAAATCAATATGTCAAAGTGGTGGTGGTTTTGTCAAGCTCTCCCAACAGTTTAATTCCTCCTGCATGTGGGCACAGAGCCATCTCTCCTACAAAATACTACAAAACATTTCATTAAGGATCACTGCAAAACCATCAGCCCTATAGAAGTGAGCAAAGGTTAGGCCTCTCAGACTGCCAACCTCACATTCCTAAACGAATCCCAACCACAGGCAGGACCTTCCTTCTTCCAGGAATATAGTTCCAGGTGACTTGACACTTCCAAGTCTGAAAAGCAAGAAAGTCCTTTGGAATTAACAGGTGACTATATAAGAAATACTTGTCTTTTCAAGAAAAGACTCACTGCAGAACCTAATACAGTCTAAGAATTTGATAATAACAGAATCACCTCCTGAAGATATTATAATAAAGTGGACCCAAGATGGTGAAGGACTGGTGAGCTTTTGAAATGATGGTCCTCTTTGTTGTCTTATTACCTATTGGCTTTGATAACCTAGTAAAATTCATCCTATAAGCAGGCAAGAAGCCAAACTCTTTGCTTTATTTGTACATGAGATTTCAATCTGAGGGATTTATTCCATTTTTTCTTGTCCATAAGGGGGATCTGGCTAAAGGTAACCAGCTCCCCAGAGCCATTCAACAGGAGAGATCAGACTAGCAGAGTTTGGGGAAGGTAGTAATAGTAGGGGAGCATTGCCTGGTTCTTGCTTGGTTTAATCTGAGGGGAAAGAAATCACCGCTTCTACACACATGGAAGACAGTCTAACTGTCAAGCACTTCTAGGATGCTGGCTGGAGACTTCCTTCTGGCTTTTGATGTCATTTTGTGGCTGATGAAATTACCCTCGCGACTTCCTTTCAAACAGCTGCCTGTTCCCTGCACTTAAGCGCACGTTCAAGAAAGGCATAGAAAGGACACAGGTACAGCAAGAGAAAAATACAGATAAGGGGTACAGAGAAGTTTTTTTTGAAAGTGGGGGGCGGGAAGTGTGACAGAAAGAGAACTGAGAGAGCCCATGTGAATGC